CAGTCTTCCTCTGTGAAGATGCTGTGTGACCCTGGGCGAACCACTCATCCTCTCTGGGCCTTCTGCACAAAATCTGGGGCTTAGGTGGGAAGACTGTCTTGACGCTGCTGCTCCATCTGTCTGCAATGTCAGGACCGAGCACCCTCTCTCCTGGCCCCCTGCTTCCCAGCAGGGACATCTAGAGGAACATCCCCACGTTCCCCTTTCCTCACTCACTGCTCCTCTTATCTGTTTGGTGGGAGGGCCTTCCTCCCTCCTCGGGGACAGCCTGTCCTCAGGGTGCCACATGTCCTGCTCTCCACCACCCAATGATTTAGTGAGGTGAAGAGTTGCTAAGGTTGCTGCTGCAGAGATAAAGCCACACACTCTGATCAGCCGCATTAGTAATAAAGATGACCTTTGACCACCATCACTCTGTCCCCTGGGACTCATTTTCCAATGGGTTCTAAGCTCCCCTAAAATAGTGCAACGCATGGTTGACGGGGCAGGGCACTGGGCATCAGATGGAGGCTTGGCCGCCCAGAGCCAGGGCCAGGACCAGGACCTAGCAGGAGAGGAGCTCATCCAGACAGCTCTCCAGCCACCACTCCTGTCCTGGTCCCCTGGGTGCGGGGGACATGCTGCTCTGAGGGCTGTGGCTGATGCCACCAGAGGAGGAGAAGGTGCAGAGCAGATGGGAAGGAAGGTGGGTCTTGACCTCCTCCGCCTGGGGCTCTCAGCAGGGAATGCAGTCATCTCCAGCTCCCTGTGAGGAGCGCCAAGCAAAGTGGGGCACGCCGTGATTCTTCAAGTGACTGACCTGTCCTCGCACACCCTTTTCTCCCATCAGCCCCATGAGAGTAAAGCAGTAGTACCGGCCGCTCTCAACAACCTGCACAAGTCCCCACGTGGGGCCCCAGGAGGAGAATTTCCATCATGATCCCTTTCTGCACTGCCAGGCCGTCCTTGAGGGTGGTGTGTGCTTGTGCAGTAAGGTTCACGGTGCTGTCAACAGGACTGAAATGTCACTGGGAGGGGAAGAGCCCTGCAGAGGCCCATGGGCTTCCCCATAGTGGGTTGAAGGGCTAGCCACTGTTTCGATAGCTTGTTCTGAGGCTCCTCTCTCTCAAGAGGCTCAGTTTTCAGGGTGCTGATCCCTGTGCCTTGTTAGGGGGCAGGGACTGCAGCTTGTCTCTTTCCAGTTAGGTGGTGAAACCCCGAATCTGCCAAGGAAAGGGAGCTGCATGGTGGGAAGGCAGGGTGCAGTCCCCGAATAAACTCTTGGGTTGGGGATGCACACAGATGCTGCTTACCACAGCCCCTGCCTTCCTGCAGCACGGACAGAGACAGACAGACCCACAAACATAGACATGGACAGACAGAGAGACACATGCACACACGCTGTCTCTCCCGGGTCAGCCCTGTTCTGAGGTTTGCTGAGGCCCCCATGGGGGATACCCACCCACACATAATTGAACTTTTCTTCAACTGGGTCCACATGCTTTCTGTGGTGCAGTAACAGGCTGACTTCTGTCGCACTGCCAGCACCTTGAAGCTCAGTCTCCACTTCTGAGTGAACCTGGTGGCAGGTAGCCAGGTCACCGGCCGCCAGCTCCCACCTTGGTGTTTTGTTTCTCAGCCCTCAGCCGGGCCTGAGTCAGGAGAGAGGCCAGTCCTGGTCCCCAGGGGCAGGCTCCCATGTGGAGGGGCGCCGGGCCAGCCTGTGGCAGCAGAAGAGGCCTTGGAGCAAGCTCCTGGCCACGTGGCCTCAGCAGAGTCTCTTTCTCTCTATGGCTAAAGAGTCGGGGGCGGGGGGACCCTAGAAATAACTCCATTGTCTTAGGTTCCTTCTCAAAGGGGCTTGGTTGTTGTGACGGTGACGTAAATGTGAGTATAGCTGCATCTTATGATCTTTATATAATGTGGTGACTCATCTCCTAAGACCTAAAGTACTTGCTCAATATCCTCACAGCTTACCCCATATAATGATGGGGATACCAGGGGGGCCGGGCATGGCAGAGCGACTTCCCTGAGGTCCTGGAGCATGTTGGGCCAGGTACCCAGTAACCTGCTTCTGAGCCTTAGTCCTGGGTTCTAGACCTGATTGCCTGGTTAACCAAGGCTGGATATATTTGATAGAAGTGTTGCAATTTGGGCTCCCCTCATTTTCAGAAATTAGTTCTAGAATTTCTTGTTTTTGAATCCACCCCATAAATATAAAAGAACTCCTGACAGAGACCCAGTCCAGCCTGGACAATCCATCATAAAAGTTTTCAGAGCCCACAGTCAAAACTCTAAAAATACTCCTTTCCCTCCATCAGGGTGGCATCTGTTCTGGTCACTGGCCTTGGGCCTAGACGGCCTGAACGCTCCGGCTTTCTCATTCAGCCTTCGCTAAAAAAGAAGAGCTGGTGTGAATAATTTAAGCCCCATTCCCGCCCCCCTTTGCAGGTTTCTGACACCAAGTCATCATCATTTAAGCACCAACCAGGATGTGCTATTCCTGTCCTCGATGAACATCTCCTTCCCGGGTAAGTGACTTTGAGGGCCTGCAGATGTGCGGGGGAGGGGCCTGGGCATGGCAGACCTGTGTCTGTGGGCGCTGGATGGCCCCCTATGGGTGGTTCTCGGGAACGTTTGATGCCAGGCCTCTCCCTCTCTGTGGTCCAAGTTGGACGCGCCAGGTACAGACACCTGGTCTTCCGTCTTCCATCTCCTCCTGGGGGCCACTTTGAAAAGAGCCTCTAGAGCTGGAATCTCTGCATTTCTCCTCTGGAGTTTCCTCCAGCCTTTAGCTGATTAAAGATTTCAAAAGGGAGTTAAGACACACATTGAAAAAGATGCAATGAGGCCAGAAAGGCACCTTCAGGAAGCACAGAGCACTTTTAAGCTGCCTTAACCACACTGTTTGCCTCTAAGTAGGAGCTGGGTTTTAAAAGTCCTGCTGTGTTAGCCCAAGAAAGGTCTTACAGCCACCTTATTGGCCGAAACACTGAAGTGCTCAATAACTCAGGGGCTGATGGGCCAGGATGCGGATCACTCAGGACCCACTGCTTCCCCGTGCTCTGTCCTTGGCCGGACCTGTCTTTGGGTCCTTCAGAGACGGGCAGGGAAAAGCACGGGAAGAAGACTCAGGCTCCGAGGCTTGCTGTTCGCCAGGCCTGGCCCCGTGCTCCTGGGCCGGTGTCTGCATGCGTGAGTGCGTGCACTTTTCCCTGACCTTGATCTGGTGCCTCTCTGATGTGTTTTGCTAGTGATGTTGGACCAGAGAACTCGTCAGTTCTCTGTGAGGTGAAAGGGAATGCAAGCAGTGAGTGGAGAAGGAGTCCAGCAGCCCCTGTGCCCCTAGCCCTGCCTCTTGGCCCAGGGGTATGAGAAGGCCCTTCTGTTTGCTGACCCTGGGGCGAGAGGTATGCACCAGGTCTGCCCTCAAGCCTGAGGTCCTGACCTTCCTCCAGGCTCCGTTCTCCCCGGCACAGCCCTGGGCACAGGGCATGGTCCCTCCACACAGGCCTCCGACCTCGTGCCTAGCACACTGAGCCTGGAGACACTGTTTTCTTAATGGCCCAGCCTAGATGGTGGGGCAGGTCTTGCAAACGGGTCATGTAAGAAGGGAGTGAAGAAGGGGAGGCCTGTGATCAGTGGCTCAGAGAGCCAGCCTGTCACTTACAGACCCTCAGGCCTTCCTTCTGAACTTTGACACCGCTGCGGGGCGGGGCTCGTACAGGAGGCTGTGGACACAGGGAAGCAGGGTAGGGGTGCGCAAAACCCTTCAGGGCCTCCTTCAGCCACCTGACTCCTTCCAGGCTCAGTCTGATTTCTTGTGGGGACTTAGATTGGTTCTGGCCCTGCCCTTCCTGCTGATGTTTTGCAGCCTCCCCTGCCTACACCGGTCTTGGCCCTCGGGAGGAGATTGAGCCTCGGGAAGACCCTGTTCGTGCAGCAGGCACATGGGAGTCAGGGGTTGATCTGGCAGTCCCGAACTGGACTCTGGCTTCTGCCCCGCAGTCCGCCCGGGCCTCCCCTCCAGCCAACCTCCTCCCGGGAAGAGGCCCGTCAGGGAGCCTGTGCTGCTCACACCACCGCCCATGAGATCCTCTTGCCCAAACAATCCACCCTGAGTCTGATCAGGCTTCTAGACTCCAGTACCAGGGGAATACATGAAATAACCTCAAGGGATGTCATTGGAAAAGCCAGACTGGGATAAAGTACAGCACACGTGACCTGGTTCCTTCAAAACCAAATCGCAAGGGAAGAAAAAGAGAGAGAGATTGATGGGGAGTTTACAGACTAAGAGACCCAGGAGACAAAATGACCGATTGTAATGCAGGGGCCTAATTTAGATTCTGATGCAAACAACCTTTAAGAAAATAGTTTATGGGTCAATTGGGGAAATTTGAAGCTGCGTGGTTATTGCATGATATTAAGGAATGACTGTTAAATGGTTTTGGTGTGATGATAGTACTGTCATTATGTATTCTAAAAAAGGACCCCTAAGCTTCTCAGGTACACCCTGGAATATTCACAGGGGACAGGTGCCTGGGACGGTGGGGTGGGGGGCGGGGCGCCAGGCACAGATGAATGGCACCGGCTCTGGGAGGTGGGCTGCCGCCTCTGAGCGATGGGACACAGGGTTTCACTATGACATTCTTTTTATTCTTGCATAGCTTTGAGAATCACCATGATGACATCTGGAAGCAGAGGAGGACGAGAGGAAGGAGGAGGAATCGGAGGAGGAGGGTGGAGGAGGTACCGCAGCTGCGCCAGGACTGAGACTGCCCTCCTTAGCTCCTAAGAACCTGGAGACAAAGGCCAATAGCCAACCCAAGGAGTGGCCGCCCCTTCTAACCTCCCCAGGACTCAGAGTCCAGGCCGGGCCACTGTCCCTGGTGGGGTTCTCAGTGGAGCTGATGGGCGGCACCGGCCGTGGGGGGAGGGGCTCGGGCTTTGCTCCCTGAGGCCCCAGCTGGTTTCCCTCCTCCCAGCCACAGGCCTGGCAGAGTGGGGCAGGCGGCACTCACTGTGGAGAGGCAGCTCCTGTCCTCCCGGATGATGGCGCCGAAGCCCAGGAAGCCGGTTACCATGACGAGGGCGCCCGCAAAGATGAGGATGTAGGCGGAGGCGGCGAAGGTGCTGGAGGCCAGGACACTGAGGTAGCCACTCTTCTCCACCAGAGTCCAGATGCCCACGGCCAGGATGGCGGCGCCCCCCACCTGCGGGAAGCCCTGAATCAGAGCGGGTGGCTGCTGGGGGGCCACCGCTGCCATTGACTGAGCACCCACTGGAGCCCAGGCACTTTTCATGCCTCATCTCGTTTAGTCCTTCAAAGGGCCCGTGAGGATGGGGTGGGCCCCCGACTTACAGGTGGGGAAATGGACGCTTGGAGAAGCTGGTGACTGGCCCGTGGTCATACAGCTGAGCCGCAGGTGCAGATTTTGAAGCCAGGGGTGAATCCCAACTCTGTGCACTCACCACATTGTCTGGGAGCCCCATCCCCATGGGGTAGGGGAGGCGATTGCGAGTGTGGGAGGCCTTTGTGTGTGAGCCCCTTTGTCCTCTGATTCCTGGCCCCCGCCCTGCGCCCTTCCTCCCCACAGGGCTCCTTTGCTCCTGTCTGCATTCTCCAGCGGGCGCTTTCACACACCCCAGTTTCAGCCCTATATGCGCCCCCTGGGGGAGCACACAGGGCTCTTCATCTCTGCTTTACAGACAAAGAAATGGAGGGGCAGAGAAGAAATTGCCGGAGGGCCTGCCTCTGGTTAGGGGCAATTAGAGGCGGGCCAGGACCAAACTCAGGGTGCAGCCTCCGTGGTTGAAAGGTCAGGGACTCCACAGCTGGAGTTGCTCTGGGACTGCGGGAAGACTGAGCAGCAAAGATTTCTTTGCTAGTTGTCTGCTTCTCTTTCAGCCCCAAGAAGGTGGCAGGGACAAGACAGTGCTGATGAGGAGTTGGGGCATCTCCTCAGGAAGGGCACCTGGGCCTGCAGCTCGGGGTGCCCCCTGCCTGGTTTTGTGCAGCAAGGCTGCTAAGCTCAGCAGAAGTGTGTGCACCAGACAGGAGCACTAGTGCCTGCCCAGGGGCCATTTCTGCCATCTGTCCCTGCAAGGGCAGACTTCTACCTGGCCCCTGGGCTCATTGCCTCATGTAGGGATGAGATGGCTCCCTCAGATGGGTGAAAACCTCTCCCTCAGGGGCCCCCTGTGTGGCCCGCTGGGCTCAGTCCACGGATGCTCGTCCCTGCCCAGTGTTCCCATCAGCCCCAGGATGACTCTCAGAGTGTCCGCCCTGAACCTCACAGCTTTCTGTTCTCAGAAGTCACAGGCATCAGCTGGGAGAACGGAAGGTGGTTCCTGGCAATGAATATGCACCAGACATGGCCTTACTCAGCTCACCATTTCTCTTCCAAGCTCTGCTGTGGTGCCAGGATACGGCGGGGTGGGAGGAGGGCACGTGTTATCTCTGTTTTGCAGATGAAGAGCCCGAGGCTCGGAGAGACTGAGCACATGCGTGAGAGACAGCATTGGGAAGTTCCAGAACAGAGACTCCAACCCAGGTCTCCTGAGGGCCGACCCAGGACTTCTTCCTTGGATCCGACAGAGGGGGCTGCACTTGCTCTGAGACTCATTTCTGCTTTTTACATGATCTGTCTTCTTCAAAGTGTCATTTCATCCCCTTTTGGCACCTCCAACAGGTAAGAAAGAACACCAGGTGGAGGGACACCCAGCAGCATGGCTCTGAACGGAGTGGGGGGCTGGCCTGTGGCATTTCAGTCGCATCCTGTTCACATCTCTAAGGCTGACCTGCATCTTGTGACCGGTGGCATCTTACAGTTATACTTGGCACTACTTTTCCTCAGTGGTGCAGAAATCAGCGATGTATCTTAGGATACAACTGATGGCATCTTAGCTGAGCTGAAGTCCGGAACTAGGACAGGTCTGTAGACTCTGCGAGTGCACACTCCCTCTGGGCCACACGGCCCCCACAGCCAGCGAGCACTCTCCTGCGTCTGGGTCCTTGGGACTGTGTTAAGTGAGGCTTTCCAGGAAAACCTCCTGCACATTTTCTGTCTACCCCCTACAGCAGGGCTGGAAGCCTTGGGTAAGGGTCCCAAGTTGGCATAACTAGCTGTGTGATAAAGGCAGTCCCTTAACCCCTCTGGGCCTAAGTTTCTTCAGCTTTCTAGTAAGGAGCTTGGACCAGTGGTTCCCAACTATAATCATGAAGGACTCCTCTGCTTACTTTTGCCCATGGATCTTATGTTTTGAAGATTTTTGCCTACCAAATCCAGTGCATTAATTAAGTAATAATTCATTTCTCATTCTGTATTCATCAAAGGCACATGATAGTGCCAGGAAGAGAGTCTGAACAGCATGAAACAGTCAATGCGACCACAGTGAGTTGATTTAATTTTTAATTGCTATAGGCTCTTCATAGAAATCTGCACACTATCCATTATCCACTAGGCTTGTCAACCCCACAGCTCAGCATCGACTCTGGTGCCACCTCAAGGGGCACATCTGGACAGGACCGGGGACACTTACTCGGTTTGGGGACACAGAACCCACTGAGAATGTGATTTAAGAAACTGTGGATGCTTTTCCCACAGCAACAGTCATCCATTTAAAATCAAGCACTGGGGTTTGGGGGCTGGAGCCTGACCTTGGACTGAGCCCTGGTGCACGCAGCCTCTGAGGCCTGCCCCACTGGTGCTTCTCAGCCTGGCCGCAGGGCCACTGGTGCTCTGACATACTCAGGCCACCCCTCAGACCAGGTGAAGTCTCTGGGAATGGGACATGAACGTTTTAATGAGTTTCCAGGTGGTTCCAGTTGAGAACCACTGTGGAGATGTCATATTTAATAGAGGGTCGAAATGTCCCGCCACTCTCCCCAGCAGGTGTTGTGGTGCTGAACCTCATGGACATGCTGCTTCCTGGAAGCTTTGGGCCCCCTCCCCAGGGGGCAGCTGCTGGGGGCCCTTTGAACACTAGTTTAGGACTTGAACTCCATCCTGTTCCTTCTGTGCTTTGCTAGGAGCTTCGGGATAGAAGGTGAGAGATAATGAGGAGCAGAATTTTCAGTCCAAAGGATGTAAATCAGATTATGCAAGGAAAAAATAGGTGGCTCCCCCGGAAGAGGAGGGGCTCTGAGAAATGCAGCCCCAGGGGAGGGGTGGCGCTGACCCCGCCCGAGGACTGCTGTCTCCTGTGGCATTTGCCAGTCTCAGAAAGGGCTGGACTCTCACCAACAGGCAGAGCCTGCAGGTCAGCTAAGGTGACAGCAGGGCCTCCAGCTGTTGGGGAGGGCCTGGGGAGCATCTGGAGGGGCAGAAGAAATCAAGAGGTGACCGTGACTCACTAGGGACCCTCTCCCCTGGGGTGTCTCATCTGGTGGAGACACTGAGTGGGACTTGCTATGAGGAGCAAGAGGAGTTCAAGTCCAGGGGGTCTCCTGCCTGGGACCTGGTCAGCTCTTTAGAAAACAGTCTTTCCTCTGGACAGGAAATGTGAAAGCTGCTCAATGTCGGAACAGGTCACCCGAGGGTGTCTTGGAGGGGTTGACGTTGGCAGGCCTGGGAGCCAGCCCTAGCTGTACCCCTCATAACCATATGACTGCCTGCCAGATGCTTGGCCTCTCTCACCCTCAGTTTCTTCACCTGTGAATGGCGGTGCACGGGTCAAGTGCCCCTACTACCAGGTTGTGGGGGGCAACCTTCTGCCAAGACACCTGCAGCAAGAGCCTTCTGGAGCAGTGGCCTATGGCTGTCACTTGAGCCGAGGGGAGATGGCCTTGGTCAGCAGAAAGGGTGGTCAGTGCAAGGGGAAGTGAGAGGAGGACTGAGTGGGGTGGGGGAGGGGAAGTGAGAGGAGGACTGAGTGGGGCGGGGGAGGGCTGAGCCGGGGGAGCAATTTCAACAGCTGCTTGCACAGAGTTGGTTCCACAGTAGTTGGCTCCTTACAGAAAAGGGGTTGGTTTTCTGTGAAATATTAACTACGTTTTCAAAACCAGAGTCCATAGCCAATTAGACAGAAAAGCCTGCAGAGGTGTGAAGCTGGCCCTCTCACCAAGAGGACACAGGCAGGCCAGGGGGGCGGGGCAGGTCACCCAGGCCGTGTAATTTTAGAAACCACCCATTTATAGAAAAGAAACACTGCCAGAAAGTCGCTCATGCCATTGTGAGGAGAAGGATTAGCCTGAGTGGTCACACATGCCTGGGACCTGATAGGCGTCAGGCAGCATACCAGAAAAAAGCAGGCAGAACATGTTCAGCCACCGCAGGCTTTTCCTGTTAGGGAACAGAAGGTTCTCCTGGGCTGGGGTCTGGGGGAGGGGCCGTGGGGCGGAGCAGGGGTCAGGGCCTCAGGGGCGGGGACGGGAGGATGTTGGGAAGGAGAGTGCTATGCCTTCAGTGCCAGGGGAGAGCCTTGTGCGGCCCGCGTGCGGTGCGGTGTGCCTCACCATGAAAGTGTCTGCTGGGCCCTTGTAGGTGCCAAGCACCAGGCGGGGCTGGAAAGGTTTCTGGGCAGGATGTGTGTTCACCCATTTAGAACCCCGCTTGTCATCTGTGCTCCTCCCCCAGCGTCTCACTAACAGCAGCCCTGCCTACCCAGACCTGAACCCCGCCCCCTCCTTGCAGGATTCGTCCAGGGCTGACCCCACCCAGCTCCGTCAAGCCTCTTTGGTCCCCCGCCCCCTCCCCCTGTACCTGCCTCCGGCCTCTGCTCAGCTCAGGCCGAGGCCAGCTGGTTGTGCTCCAAGTGCTGAACCACCTGGCATTTCTAGCGAAGTCGTCTCGAGCTCGCCAGCACCCAGAGCACTAAACCCAAAGCCCAGTGGCCTTGGGCCCTTCAACAGCCAGGCTGAGCCTGCACATCCCTTTTCTGCTGCTTCCCTCCCTCCACATGTGGGCTTTAGTTACTATGAACTAAGTAGTTGCTTTTCCTGAAAACATTGCAGATGCCCAGTAACTATGGTAATAAAGCAGAGTGGTGAAGAGGCCAGCTGCCTGGTCTGAGTCCCCATTTTTTTGCCCTTCCTCTTCGGTCTCTGGTTCTCCTGGGCTGGGAGTTCCTTGGCCTTTGGTGTAGCTCTCAGCATGAGTGGGAACCATGCCTGGCTCCCCTCAGAACCCCAGCCCACACAGGGCCTGGCACGCAGGAGCCGCCACAGTGCGGGTGGACGGCAGCTGGCACTTGTGCAGGGGGCTGGGGAAGT